CAACTCCCCAGAAAGCCACAAAAATAAAAGGCTCCATCTTCAGGAAGATGATCTCCAATTACAACACTATGCTGGTTTGAAGAAATACCCAGTGATGCAGCAGCAAGCTGCAACATACCAATCAAAAGGCTCTCCCATCTCAACAGGGACAACAGGCAGCTGAGCTATCAAGTCAGTTGTACAAGCTGAACACATCTATTTGTTTTCTTGTCCTCTTAGCCATAACCTAGATTTCTGGATCCTGGTTTAAATTGAATAGACCCTTGGGCCTCCCCGGTGGCACAGCGGTTGAGCGCTGGGTTGCGAAGCTGCCCGCGGCCTCTGCGGCGCCGGTTCGATCCCCGGCTGCTCCCCGGCCACCGGAGGAGGGTCCCACATGGCGCGCAGACCTCTCCTGCCGCCCGCTGCTCCCCTCAGCAGTGTACTTCGGTCCTTCCGCCTGCTCTGCTCCCCACTCTGGCTCTGGTGAATTCTCTCACCCTCCCGCGCTTCTGACTGTACCCAGTGCATGTATAAACAAAAACAAACACAAACAAACAAATAAATAAATAAAACATGCCTCTATTAAAAAAAAAAAAAAGATAAAAAAATAAATAAATAAATAAATTGAATAGACCCTTTAACAAGTGCAAACTCTTTAGAACAGCACAAGATAGTTCGCTTTGCCCTTCCAGAAGATGAGAGATGAGCTATAGGCTGATCTTTAATACTAAATATTTAATGTGTTTTTTAACACATCAGCCTTTTAGATTTAATTCCAGACTTAATGCACCTGTCAGGAAACTGACTGCTATGGTTTTATTGCAACTATACATTTTTCTGACATTCAGGAACAGATTTTCAGAAGATTCTGTGCCCCAGAAAATTCCCAATGAAGTTCAGTTTAGCTTTAAAAAAAAAAAAAAAAAAGCATGTACTTGGAAAAACATTTTCTTCTACAGCAAAAAAAATAAATAAAATAAAATTTAAACAGGTCACCAAACATACTAAAGTACAAACCCACAAAAATGCTTTCATTTTAAAAAATATATTTGTGCATTTTTAGCATAGCAAAAGCAAAAGCTAAGCCTTAGTCACAACTAGGGAAAACTTGAAAACATTGAAAATGATGCAGTCATCTTCCTCCAACATTAAGGAATAGCTCGTGAAGGAACTATAATGTTCGCTTAATGCTAGAAATCCTCCATTTCCATTAAATGACAAAATTACAGAATATGCATAAATGATGTGACCATATTTAGAAACTAAAGCAGGTTTTTTTTGCATTTTTTTCCCAGAAAGAAAATCCTCAATTGTATGTTTTTACACTCATCCCTACGGACTGTTCTTGCACCTGGATAAACTTAAAATACCCATCACTTCCCAAGGAGGAATAGAAAAGCACTTCCCTTTAGGCCTAACCAAACTCAGCACTTTATTTTCTTGTTGCTATGTAGCAACAAGGAGGGGGCTGAGAGAAGAGAGGGCACAGGACTCAGATTAATACAGTATGAGCATTTCCAGGAGGGATGGCAATTTTTTTAAAGACACAGCCATCTATCCCTTTCCCTTAATGAGAAAGTGAAAGTCGTGTGTTTCCTTCCCTTGCATCACAATCGGCCGCGGTGGAGAGGATGATGGTGCGCTCACTTTGAACATTATTAACTAATATTGATTTAAGTGGAAGAGAACTCTTGGAAGTTTTGACTCATCTGAAATGCAGAACACATACATATTTTACCAAAAGGTTTACTATGCATATTAATCTTTTATGCATTTTATTCCTCCAAGCGTGAAAAGAAACAAGTTGAAGTAATAGAGGTTGCCAGGTGTTGGTGGCACCCATTCCACTGTAATGACAGCCATGACTTAAGGTTTTGTCTCGCTCTACTCTTCCTATGAATTGCAAATCCTCAGGTTGCCACAGCAACTCTGTACACTGACAGGTAAGCTTAGGGAGGCATCCTGGTCATCTTCCCATCTTGTCGGCTTTGCATGGGAGCCCTCCAAACTCCCCACTGCTGGGGAGCACCAGGGGATGGTTCCCCTTCCAGAGTTATTCCAGTACACTGTCCAGTCACAGCGATTAATCATTCCTGCTTCTTGGGCTGACATATCGAGGTGGGGAAACGACATCCTAAATGAGCAGAGCTGATTACCTGGGAAAGCAATTCTTCAAGATAGCACAGCTAACTAATAGCTCCATCTGCTACACATAAACACATTCCAAAGCCCCAGAAGTAACGTCAGAATCCAACAAACAGAGCCGGGTCCTGCGCGCCAGATTCCTGCGTGTCATCACAGGCGTTTGATAAGCGCAGAGAGTACTTGAACTTTTCTTCATCCCTGAGATAACTGGTGCTAGATCACGTTAGGATCATGAGCCACCCAGTGCTAGGTGTTCTCAGTTTGCTTTTCTTTAAATATATGTGAAACTGGGGCCTCCCTGGTGGTGCAAGGGGTTAAGACACAACCTGTGAAGCTATCCGCAGCCAAGGCAGCACGAGTTCGATCCCCAACCAGCGAGCTATCCACATGGCGCAGACCTCTCCTGACTCACCCGCTGCTCCCCTCAGCACTGTATTTCAGTCAGTCTGCCTGTTCTGCTCCCCACTCTGTCTCTGGTAAATCCTCTCACTCCCTGCACCTCTGGCCTATACCCCAGTTCTTGTATAAATAAATAAATCTTTTAAGCAATAATAAAATAAAAATAAATATATGTGAAACAATTCCGCTATTAAAAGATGCCACACTCCCTTTTCAGACAACATGGAAGGACCTTGAGGGGACCGTGTAAGAGAAATAAGTCAGAAAATGAACGACAATTACTGGATGTTTCCACCCTTTGTGGAATATTAGTAAACAAAGAAAACAAACTGGCAAAATACAATAAAAGTAACTCTAGACTGAAAAATATGGTGGTGGAGGGGGTGGAGGGGCTTGAGGGGGTGATGTGACCAGGGAATTGAAACTCAGGGGTGAGGGGTAGCAACTGACTCATGGGCACATGTTGGATATGGGAGATACAGTTTTGTAAACAAAAGGCAAGTCAATAAAATGTGATTAAAAAATATATGTGAATTAAGACTTCACGATGAAGTTACCCGAAGAACACTCAGAGAAATGACAGGACAGTCCTGTAGAGAACCACGCTTTTCCACAATAGCCAACCAACCAACCAAATCCAATAATGCACTCGAGACACAAAGTGTTTCTATTTGGACCCAAATATGTAACAGTATATCCTATTAAAGATTTGAAAGGTGTTTTAAAGTGATTAAATAAAAAGAGAACCTTGAAAGTTCATGATAGTGCATCACAGTTCCGTAAATTAAGCAAACTTAAGGAGGCTGTGGTTAGAATTCATCGATAAACTCAGCAGACAGTTAAATACAATTTGGCTAGGAGAAGCAGAGCTGTACCAAGCTATCATTATAGACAAAACTATAAGTGGCTCTTTGAAATTTTATTTTAATCTAAATAACTAGCTACTTCTTAAGTCACCCTATAGCATTGACCTTCTCTTTTATTATTAATCTTTGATCATATCAATCAATTCTAAGATCGTGCTGTTGGGTGTTGAAGGAGGCTGCAAGTTTCCGTTTTCCTGACCCAAGTATTGGCACTTTACAGTAGCTGCATTTAACATAGCCTTTGTATCAAATGGGAACAGGCTCCAGTTCTTTCCACATTAGCTGTGATTTTAATAACATGCCAAGCAAAACAGGCTAGCGTAATAAGTTTCATTGCACCACTTCAACAGCAGATAAGCACCTCATTTTCATACAGTTCCCACTTGTTGCTAGGTAACCACACCATAACGAGACATCTCTAGGCATTATGCACAATGCATCCTCTTCACCCAAATTTGATGTGCTTTAGGCATTAAATACTGTTATTTTAACCATACCTATCACTCAAACCGTTTAAGCTTTGGTTTAAATTGCAACATAGGTTTGAGGGATTGTTGCTTCTGAGCGATTCTGATGTGCAGAGATTCTAAAAGATGCACTACAATAATGTGCTCCTCTCTCCCCCAAAGCAAACCTGCTGCATTATCCAATGAATTGGTCGCCTGACACTTCAGAGATAAAACCCTCTTGAAAGATGTCCACACTCTGCCCTCTTACCAGTAGACAATGTCAATTAAAAACTTCCTTACTGCTTTACGTGGCCATGAAGGGAACTTTGTAAGCAGGGGTCTGCGTGGAGTTGGGCTTCACCTGCGGGCTTCAAACAGAAACCCTTTAACTAGGCGCATCTAGGCCAAAGAGGGAACCCCATCTGTCAGCCAAACAAACCAGCTTTCTGCTAGAGAAAGGGGAAGCTCTGCGGGAACAGATGCCGCCCGACCTAAGATACTGAAGGACTCAGGCAACAAGGAAGCAGGAGGGCTACCTGCAGGAAAGGCAACAGAAACTGACATTTTAAAAAGAAAATAAATCTTATCAAGCTGCACAAGGCATCTCCCAAACACGAATTTTCTTTTGAACTTCAGGAATATTTTATCCTACATGATTAGTGGATACTAGGAACATAGTCTATGGTCTCCACTTATTGATGGGGCTGAATGGTGTCTCCGGTGAGAAAAAACTGAAGGAAATGGATCATTTAGGAGTAAGCATTAAGACGCGGCCCAGATTCTGACACCCAGCCTCTTGTGGACCCAGACCTTTGTCCCCTGCCAAGAGAGAAGTGGGGGTGAGGGGGTGGGGGGTGGAGGTGGGAATGGTGGGATTTGGGGGATCCAAAGAAAAGCTTCACTCCCCCACTCAAGTCTTAGTGAGCTAAGCCATCCTGCCCTTCTCCCTGGCCTCCCAGAGCCCCACCCAGGGGCTCTGAAAGGCAGATCTAAGGGTGTTGCCTCCAGTTCCTCCCAGGGTACACCCTGGACAGGACCGAAGCATCTCTCGGGGAGACCCCTTCCCCTGCTGCAGCGTCACTGTGGTATCATTCAGGACATTCTACTCCACCCTCACGTCGTCCCTCCTTCCCTGTGCTCCCTCTGCGTCTCTCCATAGCTTAGTTAAAACTCGGATAACTTCACTTGGGATGGCGGGACTGGTCACTACAATTCACAAGGGTCTATTACGACAAAACAGGAAGAGAAATCTGAAGGACAAGGCCAGAGTCAAGAAAACACCACTGTGTCTCCCAAGGTGTGTATGTTAACAAACTTCACTTAATCTGCCCTAAAACTCCATGAAACCCCTGCTAGGGTGGGGGCACTGGGCTTAGGAGGACCTAATGAAACCATTTTCAAGTCTGTGCCATATCACATGGCTTGTTCCAGTCACTTAAATAAATCACATAGTCCCAGACAGAAAGTTTATGATGAGCAACAGCCAGAAGCAGAGCTTGGAAGTAGAACCTAGAACACTCGGGCTCCGTGGTGCAGGGGTGCGGTGCAGGGGTGCCACTCCTCGAGTGTGGTGTGTGTTTAAATGACCTCTGCTGAGTGCACGCAGAGGCGGGACAGGAGCCTGCACTGAAGCAGAAGGAGGTCTACATGGCGATGAATACATGTAAGTGCGACAAAGAAAAGCTGCATATGAAACAGGCGGGTCTTCTAGGACAGTGCTGGTGGGCGAAAGCAACAAAATGATGACTGCATGGACCATAAACGCTCCCCTGCCCAAATTTCTGTGGAGCTCATGTTTACTTCAATTGATAGATAAGAGAGAGGAAGGAGGGAGAGATTGGAGGGGGAAAAGAGAGAGGGAGGAAGGAAGGGAACAGAAGTAAAAAGAACTTAGTTAAAATGGATCAGACGTCACGGTGGAGAATTCAGCTTTATCTGAAAGATCTTTTAAAGGGCAATGTTCAAGTATTACTTGGCTAATTAGAAATTTTTTTAAATGAAGATATATAATGGCCTAAGAGCAATCAAAGGGTACAATGTCAATAATTAAAGGAAATATGTTAAAGTCTTCCAAATTCTATCAAAGGACTAAAAGAACTTGTTCTACCTCCTCTAAAACAGTGAATTTTGAAAAACATTCTAAGATAAGGGTATAAATATTGAGGGAAAAAAATAGTTCTGAGTGGATTGTAACTTCATGTAAATTTTAAAGATTTTTATTTATTTATCCATACAAGAACTGGGGTGTAGACCAGAGGTGTGGGGTGGGGGTGTGTGTGAGACTATGCACCAGAGACAGAGTGGGCAGCAAATCAGGCAGATCCACTGAAATACACTGCTGAGGGAAAAAATGGGTGAGACAGAAGAGGTCTGCTAAGCCTTGTGGATTAGCTCCCTGGCCTGGATTAGCTTCCCTGGCCTGGATTAGCTTCCCTGGCAGATCGAACTCATGCTGCAGTGGCTGCGATAGCTTGAGAGTGCGGAGACTTAACCCTTTGTGCCACCAGGAAGGCCCTTATGTAAATTTTAAATAGCCAGATATTTGTTTAAAATATCCAGATAGGGCCTTCCTGGTGGCTTAGGGATTATGTCTCAGTGCTATCACTGCTGTGGCCTGAGTTCGATCCCAGGCCAAGCAGATGACACACATGGAGCAGCAGATCTCTCCTGCCTAACTCACTGCTCCCCTCTGCAGCGTATTTCAGTAGATTCACCTGTTCTGCTCTCCACTATGTCTCTGGTGAATCCTCTCACCTCCCACACCTCTGGCCTACACCTCACTTCTTATATGTATAAATAAATCTTCCCCAAAATAAAAAAATAAATAAAATATCAAAATATATGTATTTTAAATATATAGATATTGATGTTTTCCTTTAGAACAAAAGCCAACTTTACCAATATAACTATCCTACAGCTACATGGCAATACATCCATTAAATGGAAAAATAATTCTTATAATGCCTTCAGGATCATTGGCCATAGAGAAAATATAGAAAGGGGACTCATTTATATAAAAAGAGAATCCATTAAGAACAGCAAGAGTCCTTGCATCTGGTAAATTTTTTTAAGAGTTTGGAATTGTGCCTAGAAGTCATCAGATTTGTTGCTAGTGAACCCCCATCTGTCATCGCTCGAATCTGAACTATATATAGCTCCTACTCCCCAAATCAATATGTTGTGTGTTCATGTAATCTAGTATCCAGTCTAGAAGCTTTGCAATTGTCTATAAGCTCCTCAATTCTTATTTTCACTATTCTTTCTTTGTTATAATTCTTAATATACAACTGACAGAATATATAGATGTCATTTTAAAGAAAAAAATAAGCAAGGAGTGTGTGTGTGTGTGTGTGTGAGAGAGAGAGAGAGAGAGACAGAGAGACAGAGAGATCGTGAGAGACAAGAATAAAATTATAAACTATTACATTATATTACCATAAAGAGGTCATTGCCATTGCCTTAAAGGATTTCACAGGAACATATCTTGGGCAAGAGAGCTGTAGTAATATCTTATCTATGAGGCCAGGTATTCAGCAAGTTTGACTCTCCAGGGTTAGGGCCCACAGGGAACATCTAGGTCAATCATGTCACAACCTGAGTAAGTCCCACTTAAGTCAGGGGCCACACTGAACTTGTATTTAAAGGCAGGATGCTGGGCTGTCACCATTTACTCTGTTAATATACTTTCATATACTTCTATTAATCTTAGTTCTCTTGTTTTCCAGCCCATGATATAATCATAACAAATGTTTAAAGGGAAGGGGATAAAAAAACTGAGAACAAAGAAGAGACAGGAAAAACTATTTTAAAAATTATTAATTCAGAACTCAGAAAGCACAGCAATCTCTGTGGGTGTAGAATGGACAAAACAACCAATCCACGTTAAAGGTCTCTAAGCAAAATGTAATTAATTAGTATTCTAAAGGATCCATTCGTGTATGCAAAATGAATTCAATATACTATGGCTTTAAAGGGAAGAGAACTAACTGTGCTTTACATTTTGGAATAATTTTCATCAAACACTAGGCATTGAGTTTGTCTGTGGAGCTCCGAGTTAACAGTTGCCATGAGGTTACAAAAATAGTAATAATGATTTTAGGTCAAATTAATAACAACAGCGTCTAAAATGAATGCCAAGGATGTGGTATGGCCAGCTCCCTGCCTGGCCCCCCAGCCCTACAGCAGTTCTGCCACTCAGTGCTTCCCGAGGAGAAAAACATACGAGAGAAGAATGAGAGACTGAGGAAACTTATGAATTAGCAGTCGGGGGAAAAGGACTCAGGGCTTCTCCAAATGCTATAATCCTCGAGTTCAAATTAAAAAATATAGATCTATCTCATACCGATCAGAGTCACCTCCAGAAAAATAACTTGGAAGCAACACAGTGAATGAAATGTTATTATGAAAAGAAGGTAATGTGAATTAAATTTAGAAAGCAAATAGTAAGCTGATGTCTTCACTTGAGTAGCTTACCGCTACGGCTCCAGACTCCCCCATTAACTTCTTCACTCTGTCATTTCTCTCCGGCTAAGGGTGCCCGGCACACACACCCCTGCCCTATGAAGATCTCTAAAGTTGAGTGTTTTGAGACCGTGACAGTCTTTGTTTTACTTAAGATTTACTTCAAAACTTATTTTATTGTGAAAGCCTTTCTTCCTATATGTTTCCAAAACAAATTCCATCAACGTTAAATCACATCATCGTCTTGAATTATAAACCTATCAAGCCAAAGGAATTAGCCTTAAGCTGTCAACATCCAAGCCAAGGAGCCTGCCTCGCCTGAGAAGCACTACCTGATTTATAGCTCTGTCCACTGCATTCAGAGTCGTGCTAAGTAGAAAACAAAGGGGTTATCAAATTTCAGTAATTAATATGAGTAAACATGAGTTGAGCCAACAAAAGCAATTACTTGGAATTTTAGTACTATTATCTCAACATTTCATGTTTTTCCTCATTCAGTGAAAAGCAGAGATGAAAATGAACGCCTCAGGACTGGAGATTTGGTCATTTCATTCAAAAGTCACCATCCACCTATGTAGCACAGTTGACAGCTAATTTAATACTCTCCTCCAGATAAAATAAATTACTCTGACTTCAGTTTATGAAGAATAAAAGACTCCCTAGTATTTTAACTCATTTTTGATATGAGAAAAATCATTTGAATTTTCCCAGTTAAAATCGGCAGGGAAGGTAGGAGGCAGCAAATGTTTGTTTCTGATGTTATCGTCATGTTTTGCTGACATTGCTGGAAATGTTTTACTTTGATATTATCTTCTGACTTGGGTTGGCTTATTTTTGGATTCATAACTGGCTACTTCCAGTGCCTTAATTATACGAAAAGGATCAGGAGGGGTAAGAAGTGCAATTTCCTTTTACTTTAAAAAGTAAAAATAAGGATTTAGTTCACATTATTTAATGTGTCCATAACAAATGTCACCAAATAGCCTCTGGCCATATCACCCTTGGACCATCGTTCTCACAGCCCACATCCAATCCCACACAAGCTTGTACATTAGGCTTCCTAAATACTGCTCGGCCCCACCCACCTCACTCTGTAGGCCCCATACCTCAACCCTAATACAAGCTTTCTTGTCCAGACAGTTGCCTCAACTATCCATGCCCACCTGCATTGCTCATGCCCTCCACTACCGCTCCACTGTCACCATGGGGATTGTATCCAGAAAGCAATCACAACCTGCTGCATACCCCAAAGGTTCCCCACACCTCTTAGAAGAAAATCCCACATCCCTCCCTCAGCCTGCAGGGCCTGAGCTGCCTGGCCGCTCCCACCTCCCTACTCTCCTCTCAGCCCCATGCTCAGACTCTAGGCAAATGGCTTTCCTTCCATCCCTTCCATGCATCTTGTTCCCTCCCCAAAGTTCCGCCTGCTTAATTTGCAATGACCCTCTGGATCACAGTTCAACCACCACTTTCTCCATGAAGCCCACCTTGGCCGTCCAGACCAGATCACGTTCTCTTACTACATGAATCCACCATAAGTTTCTCCTTCCCAAACCCTGCATTACTTCACAAGTGTACATCTGAGTGACTGGTTAATAAATTATTGCATTAAATATACTTAATAATTACTCCTTACAGAGGCCAAGCCTGCTTCTGCTCACCATCATCACCTGGCCCTCACCCCAGCACCTAGCACAGGTTAATTAAGTAAAAATGCCTTAATTTAAAGGCAGGCACTATGATGATCCAATTGGGATCTACCTTCCTTGCAGACCGTGAAGTCAGAGATTCTAACCCCCCACCCCCACCCCACTTGGCATCCTCACCATGCAGCCTACAGCCTGGCACATGGTACACCAATGGTCAATAATTGTATAAAGAATGCCCGAAAATACTAAACAGATTTTTTTTAAAAAATATAAAAGTAGATCTGCCCATCTCTTGGAATGATTACGAATCCCAATATTTGTATTGCTCAGGAGAATCAATTATGCAAACTTCCTGCAATGTTGTTATGTGAGAAGGGATTTGTCGAAATGAATAAGGTGGTTCTGATAGCCTGAGGATATTACACATCCACCTACTTAGAACTACTCCCTTTAAACAAATGCAACCTGCCCAGCTCACACATGACAGATGAAAACCTGTGCACCCAAATTTTTATTTAAGCAGGAGTCTATCTGTTCAGAAGGAGAGAGAAATTCACTCTTATGCACATCTGAGGACTTATTCCCAATCATAGATTCATCTATCACAGTGACTCAAACAGCCTGGGCCTGGCTTCCCGGTCAACCAGGTAAACACAAATGATGTCAGTATTTAAATGACACTCTAATTTGTGGTCACCAACCTCCAATGTGTCAAGTTCAAAGTCCCTTTAAAGGAGTTTAGTGATTCCAACAGGGTTCTCCAAATAATGCAGCCATATCGGTGGTTTGGTATTTTGGGAGAGCAAGGCCCAGACACCAACCATCACACACACTCCGAGACTCATCTGTTGACTGTTGTACAGAGGGTTTTCTTCGGCTGCTGCAAAGCCATGTAGATGATATTTCAACAATAACCACACATTTCCCCCTGTGGTATAGACACATACAAAATGCATTAGGAAAAATGCCAATAACTGAAATGCTTTTCGCAGGAGCTCTATTCAAGTGAGTGTCTCACAGGTGCCACAGAAGTGCACAGCTTTCTGAATTTGGTTCCAAAGGGAGCTCAAAGTCAATAAGCCTCCTTAGCTATCATCCAGCATGACTAAATCACTCCAAGGGCAAACCTTTCTGAGTTATGTGACCATTTCTTTTGCAGAGTTTTACCGAAAACGGCACACCATAAACCAATTTAATTCAAGGTAACCCAAGCAGCTGGATGAAAAGGAGCCCAAGAAATGAACAGAAGAAAGAAAACACAAATGTTTCAAGTTACAGGAGATCTTCAATCACAGAGAAATGAGCACAAATTAACAAACCAAGAAGGTTCCCAGGCCCTATTAAGGTATCATTCCAAATATAATCCCCATCTCCCATTATTAGAATAAACCTGTCATTATGTTGGGGTTTTGCCTTTTCAAGGGACACAGCCAAGGAAATTCTTTGCCGACAAGGATTACACTGCACCAGCACGTCGGTGTGTTCAATGATGTTCAGAGGACATTCTAGAATGCCTTTTGTGTTGTTCTCTTGCAAACCGTGGACAGGAGGACAAGCAAATTCTCCACTCAGAAAATACTCAATTATTTTAATAGGATTACATTCTAGATTGACAATGTTTAAAACAGCCCCCTGAATTTATGAGTCTGCCAGCACTTCATATAAGTAATTTTAAAACTGAGATCTTTTAAGTTTAAGTAAAGGACTGGCGATGAGTCAAACTCCCCCCTCCCACCACCACTTTGTAAAACACAACACTCTAGTTATCAAATGGGAGTTCAGGAACTGAGTAGCAAGGACCTTCACACTGGGTTGTCTAGAGCTATGATTTGCCACATTTTTAAATACATGAGTTTCTCTGAACTTTTATTTTTTATTTCTCCTCTTTGGTTTCTGAAAGCGTTTTCTGGCTTGATAAGATATACGATGACTGCAAAGTTCAACTGAACCTCTGACAGAAGAATCATATTCTAGTCCCTACAGCTTTATTACTAAGTCCCTCCTCACCCTTCCCCTTCACCAGAGACAAGTCAGTAATATGTGGAGAGGAACTACCAACTGCAAGGCAGCTGGCTAAGTGTCCTCAACCAGCCACGTGATTTGGATCCCTGTTCTGATGCACAAAGCCTGGGCTGGGACCCAGAGTCGACCATTTGCAGTAGGACCTGGACCCTTGCCGGTTTCCAGCTCTTGCTCCCCCTGCTCAAGCCCCTCCATTTCTCTGCCAACCCCAGTTACAACGAATGAGTGACACTCCTTAAGAATGTCTGTGAAGGGGCCTCCCCCGGTGGCGCAGTGGTTGAGCGCTGGGTTGCAAAGCTGCCCGCGGCCTCTGCAGCGCTGGTTCGATCCCCGGTTGCTCCCCGGCCACCGGAGGAGGGTCCCAAATGGCACGCAGACCTCTCCTGCCGCCCACTGCTCCCCTCAGCAGTGTGCTTCTGTCCTTCTGCCTGCTCTGCTCCCCGCTCTGGCTCTGGTGAATTCTCTCACCCTCTTGCACTTCTGACTGTACCCAGTGCTTGTATAAATAAACAAATAAATAAATAAATAAACAAATAAATAAATAAATAAATAAATAAATAAATAAATAAATCTTTGGGAAAAAAAAAAAAAAAGAATGTCTGCGAAAAGTTGAAGTTGGATTAGAATATCACTTCTCCGAGGGTTATTATGAATGTTGATGGAAGTTTCACTTTCTCACATAATTGCTACTAAACTCAGTTAAAATATGATAAAGTTTCAAATTTACTAAAAAATCATGGACAGTAAAAGGTCTAGAGTGAGCCTCGGCAAATCCAGCCGAAAACGTAAGAGTGGCTTTTACATATTTAAATGGCTGAGAAAAGTCAAAAGAAAATTTCATGAGACCTGAAAATCCAATGAAATGCAAACCTTCCATTCCCCTAACAGCATTTTACGGGCATATAGTCGCGCTAGCTCATGTTTCCTGTGCTGTTATCACATCACTTCAGCGGCATGAAGGGCTGTGACAGAAACCACAGGGCCCTGCAATCCACTGTCTGACCCTTTAAGAAAAAGTGCAACAATCCCTGGTTTCTGGTTTGGTAAAAGCTTAGAATATGCTGGTGAACTTCAGAGAGCTATAAAATCCTAAAGACCTATAAAATCCTCTGGTACTACTTGAGTTTCTATACAAAGATGATCTGCAGCAGGGATTAGATGATGCTATATACCAATTACAGAGGCTCTGAACTTGACAACTACCTACTGCTCCTCACCTTACCCAGTGATCCCTCTACTAAGGTAAACTGGAATACCTGCATGTTGCCTGCTTTATATGCATCATATAATACAAAGGGGCAAGATGGTCCCATATTCTTTTTCTTCTTTTAATTGTGAATCCTTCGTGTCTCTACTTTGGGTAAATATAGTTTGGTTTTCCCCAAAGGATTCCTAGAAACACGTAATTCACCTTCTTGACTTTCTTTGCTGCTTTACTCTGCCATTTGTTAAATCTTAATGGGTTTGCTTTTTGTTTTTGCTTTTGTGGAAGCTGGTGGTGTACCCTGGTTTTTTCTTCCTGACTCTGCTTCTGCCTTAAGTTCCTTTGTCATGAACTTTGACTCTTTAGAGCTTAAAACAGCAAAGATACATGTTATTGATTAGCTTTGTTCCATGAGTCCAAGCCTTGAAGTTAATTCTCAATGTACCATTTAGCTTCTCTGCCCCAAGATTGGGCAACTTAGGCACTTAGTTACCAGGAGAACCAACTAGAAGAATGAGGACAGATGGATACAAAGCCACCCTCCCCTGCACCCAGCATATGACAACCGTGTCTCTGTGTCTCATGACTTGATTTACTAACAGTACAGCCCCCTCCTATTTCCACCATTGAGCTGGGAATGCAGCAGTAGTACTTAATTTCTGATGAAAGAGGTCTTCTTTTAGTGGTCAATCAATCAATTAAAGAACTGCTACAGAAGATGCCTAAGCCTGATTTGAATTTTGTTCTCTTCACTATACTTTGGTGATCTGAACACCAACAACAATAGCCCCTAACTGATTCTTCCTGTGGGATGAGTGTGAAAGTCGGCTGGAGAAATCTGTTGAGCAGCGTTGAGAATTATACATTCTAGCGCAACAAGGCCTGGGAGAACAGCGTTCTGAGAGGACTTACATCCTTACATGGAATGCTTCTTCCCACCTGGAAATGGATCTACTCAAAATACAGGGTAACAGTGAGAAATGCAAGTCCTGCCCCAGGGTGGAATGGAAATTTCTGTGATCGTAATGAACAAAAATTCTAAGCTTGTTCAATCCTTTCATAGTCTATGAAGAAAAGTCCTTTTCTTTCTTCTCTTGATTTGTGAAATGGGGAGAAGGGAAGACCCTGATAGGTAAGATATAAGAACAACACCAAATTCTCTCTAGACTTACAAAACTAAAACCACCTGAAATTACCCAGCTGAACTGCCAAATCTGCCAGTTGCTGCCCTCATTTTTATTCTGAATATTTCTACAAAATAAAAAATCAGCACAGGAACTTTCCTGACTGTAGATGGATGCCACTCTAACCCTGCTCAAAAACTGGTGGATAACCAGCAGTTTCACGGAAGACAGCAGCAGAAATGAGAAACAGGGATATACTTAAGTAGTAGGCAAGTCAGCAGCCCTGTTCCATTTCATCACAAAACGTTCAACTCCTAAATCTTAATCACACAAAATTAAAACTTCAAAGTGGGATTACAGAGTCGCTAAGAGGAGAACACACTTCTTGCTGGCTCCTTTCCTTCAGAGCCATTTTCCTACTACAGATTTTATTATTACCATAAAAATGACACCTGTAGCCGAAAGTTATAGTGTGGCTGTTGCTTGCACACCCAAATTATTACCAGGGCGGAGAAAAGGGGAGGGTTTTCTACTCTCGATCAGAAGAGCTACGTAACAGAGAAAGGAGAACAAAACAAGAGGATCTGGGCTAACAATACACAGCTTTAAGGCTCCACAGGAAAGAGAGCAGAGCTACGGGCGGACGAGTACTGCCCGATTGCTGAGCAAATGCAGTTTAGCATACTAGTTGTCATAGCAAGTCAATGGGATTTGAGAGCACATTTCTGTTTTGACATCTGGCCCATAACAAAATTACTATTGATCTGTTGTGAGCTTCCAGCAAAACAGTATACCCGAGTCTCAGAACAAAGAATTGTCCACTAAATAATACGCAATAATCATCCTGTATTGGTGCCAAAAAATCACATCTTTGCTGGCATCCACTTGGTGCATTTTGGGATGAGTTTCCTATTCCAGAATAGAAGGGTCCAGACCTTTTTTTTTTTTTTTTACAGTGAATTTTCCCAGTATAGGATTAGCTCTGTCTTTCAGTAGCCTGGTGTCTTTCAGCAGCAGCATATAATGCTGACATCTACCTTGAGCACACACTTTGGTTTGCTGCTGATTCTGGAAACTGACAGGACAAGCATTATTTTCCAACAGATGTTCTACAGCAGTGGAAGGAACCGATGAGACAAGTCAGACAGTCAGAACTGTTCATGGAGGTTTGGAAGGAGTAAAAAAAATAAAGAAGACAGAAAAACAAACCATCAGCCCATGTCTAATTTATTTTCATGGCTCTAAAAATATTTATAGGTAAGTGCCACTCACAAATGATACCCCTTTCATTAAAAGGATCATTTAGGATTTTTAGTGGGCTATATTTTTCAATGATACTAGTAAACCAGCAGAGAACTTGAACATAAGGTGGTCTGTTCCAAAGACCCAAGCTCCTTTTATAACATAGTGTAACTGGGTATTAACTATTCATTGTCCAGACTGGTAATAGCCTCCTCATTGCAGGTTTTGGCTATATGCATCCTCAAATACCTCATTGCCTCCTTTACAGAACAAAGCTGTATTAACCAAGAAGCTATCTGATGGTTTCTTTTGCCTGCATCAGTCAAAAGAAGACAAACAATATAGATCAAGTGCATCTGTGCTCCAGCCTGCATTGATTTGTTGCATGTGCGGTTAAATCCTGTCAAGCAGTATTAAAGGTGAAGCATTATCATCAGGGAGCCCATTCTGAGAGGAACGCAGTAAGTCACCGGCAGGTCCTCCACCTGCCATGCCAAGAAGTCACAAAACTTTACCCAAACAGGAGGCCTTTCCAAACAGTCAATCAATGAGCCCCTAGAACAACCTCCAGCAAGGGACTCTTGGTAAGATGATTTTATAATAGAAGTCTAATGAGGGGTTCATTACCAACCCATCCCCCACCCCCACAAAAAAAAATGGCCAAAGGTAAAGGAATGGGGTGGAGGGAAAGATATTATGGGCATAGGAAAGACTTTCATGTTTCCAAAGTTTTGGCGCCATGATGTCCTTTTTAAGAGGTGTTTAGAAAGGTGCCCGTCTCAATCACAGCCTTGACTGCAGGATGAGAGAGACCCAAAAACTGAAAACTGCTCTCTTCTAGAAACTGTTCATTACTTTGCACATCTGCACCTACTGGTCCCTCCACACTACCCTTGTTGAATGAATACACTGAAGCACTCTGCACATCTCTATCTGTGACCTCAAAGGACATGGTCTGCTGATAGACTGCAGCTTCTAAGGCCCAATTCTTTAATGTCTTGGAGGGATGTCCACATGCTGACCTCAGCAATATTAAAGAAAAACAATTATGCAAAGTCATGAAGGTACACTCATTTTGGAGTTATCTATGGGAAATTTTCAGATTAACTTTAGTGACAAAGCACAGCCAAGCTGTGTTTGGAGAAAGGTAATGTGTAACATTCCAGGAGCACGGAAGGTCTTTTAATAATATCTGCACTGGGAGGATGGACAATTGCTCATTTTTTCTGGTTTACTTTTGCCATAAAACACAAGAGTAGGATTGAAAAATTTCTAAAAGGAATCAGCTTGTAATAAATTGTTATGCTAGCACATTCTTTTTTTAAGATCGGTTCCTGTATTAACAGCTCCACAAGTGGCAGGAACTATAAAAGTACAGCAAACATATATCTTGGACTTTTGGAGGCAGGTCAAATTTTAAAAATTCTACACCTCTGTATTCATACGTCACTCAAATGCCCCAGAATTTTAATGTCTGAAGTACATAAATATTTCCATCCACACTTAGACTTGGGAGGAAAAAAAAGATTACTTAGTATAATCTTTTTCCCCCCAATACATTTGGGGACGTAATTTTGGCTTGTTTCATCACTGAATTTTGGCTTTGTTTCATCACTGAAACAATATGCTACACAGAAAACATTTCCTCTCCTGACAGAGGCTCTCTCTATACTCACCACATATAATACACTGTAATGGTCTGCCTGCACTCCCTCTGTTCTTGAAGCTCTTGGAGGACAGGTTTCTATCTTTCCTGTTGACTGTAGTTCCCTGTATGGGAACTACAATCCCATATAGTGGTTGGCACAAACATGTGCTTATTAAATAGTTGTTAAAATCTTGAATGGAAAATAAGTCAAAATAAAGTATGCCTTCCACCAGGGAAAAATCTCAAGCAGGGAGGTTTTGCTTTTTTTTTTTAATTTACTTATTTTTTTTATTATTTTTTTAATTTTATATATTTTTACATCATTTTTTCATTTTTGCACAATAAGGGGCCAGGAAAAAGACTAATTAAAATTAAAAATATCAGGGCCTCCCTGGTGGTGCAGCAGTTGAGCGCTGGGCTGCGAAGCTGCCCGCAACCTCTGCAGTGCTGGTTCGATCTCCGGCCACCTGCGAGGGTCCCACATGGCGCACAGACCTCTCCTGCCGCCCACTGCTCCCCTCAGCAGTGTACTTCATCAGTCTGCCTGCTCTGCTCTCCGCTCTGGCTCTGGTGAATTCTCTCACCCTCCCGCCCTTCTGACTATATCCAGTGCTTGTATAAATAAATAAATCTTAAAAAAAATAAAATAAATAAAAACCAATAAGCAACTATAAACCAGAGACACACTATGGGGGGGGGGCGGAGGCAGTAGGATCAAAACAAGGGGGGGTGGGAATTGTATGGGGACTATAATCAAGCAGGAGGTTTTATTGTTCAGAGACATACATCATCCCTCCTCAAATGCAAGTATCCATGTATTAACCCCATGCAGGCAGCACAGGGTGATCTGGAAGAAATGGTACTTGCTGCAGGAGTGAGGCTCGCATGAGGCCCAAGGGGCCAAGAGGCCACCATGTGAATCATGATCAACTGACTCTGGTTTGTGACATTTTCCTTCAGAGCTTCTGAGAAAACTGGATGTTCAATGGCTCTAAGCCAAGTTTTAGCTTAGTATTCTAGCAATCCTTGCCCTTGGAAATATGAACTAGGAACATGACCTTTTTTCTTGTGGAAAAAAAAAATGCAATCATTTTTGCCCTGCCATCTCACACCTGTCCCTAAGGGCTCAGCAATCACATCCGTGTCACTTGAGAGCTTCTCCCATTATGTGAAAAGGATGGGACGTGCTGTACCTTCCAAAAAAGGATGGAACACACCAATGGCTACTCACTTCGGTGCCATGATGGTTTGACCATTCAAATATAAAATGGGTATACCTTACAGAGATACTGAATATGCCATAAGACAAAAATGATTTTCTAAAGAACTAGAATATTATTTCATTTCTACCAAGACATTTAATAATAATTTAGATCCTACTGTAAAAACTGCAAAAACATTGGAACAAAGATCTAACCCACCATTTGGTAGCAGTAGGTGAGTTTTTAACATACCATTAAATATCAGGTGAAGGATTTTTTTGAATAAGAAAGCTGCTCAATATGCTATTAAATCTATAACCATGATCAAATGTTCTATAAAGTGAGTAAGATACTGACTCTCATTCACACCAATCACCCAAATGCTGTAGACTAATGTCTTCAGAAAGAAATGAGGACTGTGAAATCTATGAGAAGTTGTTCTGGGATAACTCCAGCACCCCTCTTAATACTCCTCAATTTCCAGTTTTATGTAAAACCCTCAATCAGGCAACTTAAACAGCCCAGAGAGTTTCAACTGTCTTAAGTTCAATGAACAATGTATAATTACGTATCTTAATATCCACAGCTACAGAAAAAAAACTATATAGGAAATAAGTAAAGAAAAAAAACAACACAGGGAAAGTGATAGTTACTTCAACTCTAAGTTGATAGGAACAACATACATTTAGTGACATATTACTGAGAGTAGACACTGCATTAGGAACCCAAAACTTATGATACAGTAAGATATGATGCCTACACTCAATTCAGTGCAGAATGGAGGCCCCTGAACAAATAGGAAACTATAACACAGTACAAAGTATAGGCTGGTAAGAGGTATGTGGATATTCTGGGGTGGTGGTGGGGGTATGTGGAGTGGACTGCAGGGGAGAGGGGAACAGTGCATATCCAGAAAGACTATCTTACTCAAAAGGGGGGCCAGCAGGTTCAGAAGCCATGGGAGGAATAGAGGTGCAGAGGAACTAACTTCTGAATTCAATCATTCAATAATTAGGATGACAAAGAAGGCTGAGGGCACAGCATATGACAAAGGCATAGAGATGTTAAAGCATTTAATATATAAGAGAACATAAAACAAGACTACACACTCAAGATGTCACACTAAATGGACAGTGACAAGCAAGGATTAGCCTCTAGGGAGCAAGGCAAGGGACCAATAGGTAGATGTTACAGAGAATAATTAATGTCATCATAATATGAAAAATCATTCCATTCTAGTTATCTAGAAATGAAAAGGTCCACTTCGAAGCTTCATGCTGAGGACTTTCTCTCAGGTCTCTTCCAACTCTGCAATTCTGTGACTCACCAATTCCACATCCCAATGCCCCACACCTCCTACAAAAGTCCCAGAAGTCCTCATTTATAACATGAGAGAATGGGCAGGAGATTACCATCTCTCCATCAGTGAAGGTACATTAGCCAAATCTGAGAGTTCTTCCCATTGGAGGACCTACTGTAGCCTTAAAAACAGATACCTACCACAAGCAATGGCTTATGACAGAGCAGCAATCATGTCTACTTATTTCATTGAGTTTACTCCTCCTTATCACTAACAGGGAAAAGAAGTTAGAAAGGACACCCCAAACTGCCACACCTTTCGCTGTATGCCAAACCAGATTATTCTGTCAACACTCCCAACAGCTTGTCTAAAAGTAACTACCTGTGATAGTGACTCGTACAAAAAGGCCATTTGGTTCTTCGGAAACTGGAGGCTACGGGAATTAATAAGGATGAGTGCAGCTGTTTAGTCCGGCACCCCTGAGGACAAGATACATGATCTAACACCTTTTGCTTATCAAAGATTCCCAGCCAAGAGAGTTCTTTCATCAGCATGTTTATAAGCTTACTTGCATATTCTAATGGTAACGGTACCAGATGACAGTTTTATAAGTAAATACAAGAGGGTATCATTTCTCCTCTTAGCATATGCCAAGGCATACATCTGAAGAAAATGTTGCCTTATTGTTAACAATACACTCCAGCACATCTTTTATTGAAAATTAAGTTTAACTATTCTGACCCTCACATCAAGTAAGGACAAATACAAATATTCTCTGGTTCTAAGTCACGGTCTCCCATGACTGGCTAATTAGGTGAATGAAGGGGGCAAAAACAGAACGTCAAAACTCCTCACATAGTTAACAGGCTTCCTCCATTAACCAGCTTCTTCAAAAGCCAACAACCTGGTCTTCTGACCATCACCCTCATTGCACCCTTAGATCTTAGCTACAAATCAATCATGTTTTTTATGATACAGTAGTAGACTGGGTGATCTGGGCACAAAGTCCCAAATTTGGGAGTTTTTCCATGTGTCTCTTGATTTGGAAGCTACCAAGCGACAGCTCCCACATTCCCATCCCCAAAACACCTCTCTCTATGGTTCTTAATATCAGGCAAATCACTGGTAATCTTTGATCTCAATTTCTCTCACCTGTAAAATTCAAGGACTATCTGATACATGCAAAATTTTCTAGATGGAATCAAAATGATTGAATGCATGGTTAGAAAGGGTTTTAGTGTCCTCAGAAGATCCTGGATCTCAGTAGTATTGAAGAATTGTTAACTATAAATATTCTCCAAAAGAAAAAAAGCATTTCATCATTCAAAAAATATCTTTTGTGTATCAAATATATACCAAGCATTCTGCTAAGCTTGCAGGTGCAAAATAAAAAAGTCGAATAGTAAAATGTATATAGCCCTAGATTTCAGATTACTAAGGAACATGGTCATGAAATCAGATAAAGTATAACATTATATATTAAGTGCCACAACAGAAGAATGGACAAAACGCGGTGAGAACAGAGAAGGGAATACCCAAACATTTTAGAATCAAGAAAGCACACAAGAAGCAGTTGGCTGGGCTTTATAAATGTATTATTTTTCTAATAAATCACATTCTGAACTCCAAATGAACATAATCTGTAACCAACTAACATAATCTGTAGGCCCACTAACATAACTCCAGTTGGAATTAAAGAAACATCACCCCATGCGATTTTAGTAATCAAAAACCAGAAAAGGTGAAAATGAGCATAGCTGTCAGTTAAAATCTAAGGTAAACGCCAACCAACACTAAGTGATAAAAAGAAAATTCTCTTAGAGACACATTCCAGAAGAAATCGGTAAAGAGTTAATAAATCCTTTTGCAAACTTAAGAGAAAAAAATATCTCTATAAAAACGTACATGTAATAAGGCTACAGATCATTGGTTAGCTGCCAGAAAAATGATGGAATATGGTATAGTTTACTTATTTCTTTTTAATGGCTCCAACATTCCACCTGAAAAATTGGTCCCAGAGCTGTATAATTGGGGATAAAAATTAAATGACAGTTTCCATTTG